ATCTGGGTAGGCCATCTGAAATATGTTTAAAGGGCTTACTTGATTTCCTCTTTCCTTAGAGGATCACGAAAGGTCCTTCATCTACTGCCTTTTGTTATGGTTTAGATCTAAAACATCCCACCAAAATCTCATGTATTTGGAAGGTGATTGATGCTGGACATTTGTAGTCATCAGTGGATCCACCCACGGATAAGTTCAGTTAGACAAATGTTCTTCTAAGAGGTGGGGCCTGGCTGGAGGTGGGTCACTGGGGGTGCGACCTGGAAGGGTGCATTCCTGTCTCCTGTTCTTTCCTTCTCTCCCTGTTTCCTGGCTGTGAGAGGCTTTCCTTTGCAACGCCCTTCCACTGTGATGTTTCTGCGTGGGAGCCAGTGGACCACGGCTGGAATGAATTCTCTGAACCATGATCAAATTAAACCTTTCTCCTTTAAATTATAGGTGTTGTCAGTGATATATGCATCCCTCTGTTTATAGCAGCACAGTTTGTAATAGCTAAAACTTGGAAACAGCACAATTGCCCATCAGTTGGAGACTGGATAAAGAAGATGTGGTTTTTCTATTAAATGGAATACTACCCAGCCATAAAGAATGAGAAATTAGATTTATTCATAGGAAAGTGGATGCACATTGAGGATATACTCCTAAGTGAAATAAATAAGTCACACATGTGTAAATACTGAATAGTTTCTCTGGTATGAAAAACTATAGTACGTAAGATCCGAATGAGATAATTGACAATGTGAAATAAGGAGAAAAGGGTAAAGGTGTAGGGAAAGTGGGAAGGGTAAGGGATAGGTAATAAGGGAAAAGAAAAAAATATGAGAAAATGAAAAAATGGAAATAAAGTGTTTGTAAATGGGGAGGGGAGGAGGGGATGAAGGGAGGGCAGGGACAGGGAAAAATGAGAACCAAGACCTGTCATGTAGAGGTACAAGATCCCAATGATGAATGTAACTGTACTGTATACCTTAAATGTGCCAATAAACTCAATGAGAGAAAGTAAATAAATAAATGATGGGTATGAGTATACCGACCCCATAGCAAGAAAGTGACCAAGGCACCTTCCCCTCTGTGGCAGGTGGGTAGAATACTGCCTGCTGCACTTCGTGCTTCTCGTACCCATTCCCTTCATGGCCACCTCTCACACCGACTGTGCCTTGGCCGCACGACTTGCCTTAGTCAGTGCAGATATTAGAAAGTGGAATGGGATGAAGGCTTGGAAAAGTGTGGGCACAGGAGTTTACACCAACTGGCCTCCAGAGGAAGAATCCGAGGCTAGTTTCCTAGAGGATCAGAGACCACATGAAGCAACTGCAGTTGTCTTAGCTGAGGCTTCAGGACTGTAAGAAAGCTGTGCCTACCCTATCTGTCTGGCCACCCTAGCGCAGACCCAAAGAGTTGCCCAGATGGTCCACAGAATCCTGAATAAATTAAATGGTCATTATTTAAAGCCAAGCCATCTACTACACCTGCCTACTTTTTACCTTCATCCCTTACCAATTTTGGCTTAACACTTGGTTTTCTAACACAGTATTCTCCTTCTTAGATTGTAATTTCTGCATCTTTGCCTTCATTCATACTGAACTGGCACTGCCCTCCCTCTCAGCTGGTTCACATGGACTCATCCTGAGGTACTTTGTTTAGGTTTTGCTTTTTCATTAACTTCCTTGATGCTTTTCTTCTAACCCTTCTCTATGGTCCTTCAGGTTGGATTAGATAGGTGCTGTTAAACATGCTCTTAAGTTCCTATCACTATACCTCCAATGTTTTTTTATCCTCATTGAGTTTATTGGTACATTTTAGGTATACAGTACAGTTACATTCATCATTGGGATCCTGTACCTTTCCTTGACAGGTCTTGGTCTCCAGTGGCTTAAAATAACCCAGTGATGGTGTGTTTCTCTTGTATTAGAAGCTGAGGCTTTTGATGATACCCCAACACCCCATCATTATTGGCTGTATAAGCCATAGAGCTTGTTGAGTGAATGCACACAAGTATGAATGAAAGAGGGGAACTGAGCGGAAACAGTCTGGGGCAAAGTAAGGAAAGGCTCCCAAGTCAGGAGACATTGGTTTGTTTGGACACTCTCTCATTCAACTTTTACATGTCTATTTCTCACTCACAAGAAAAGGACTCTGCAAGAACCACACAGATGGGCTCTTGGCAGAAGAATTCATGAGTGGCCTTCAGAGCAGGTATGTGAGAGACAGCAAGCATTGGCTCATATTTTTTTTGAAGCCTTTAGAAAGCAGGTCTGAGGCAGATTATTTCACTTCTTCGATTGTTCAAAATAGAAACAGAATCCTTTTTCTAATAAGTGTCCTGTAACTGGGTAGAAAAGAGAAAAAGTGGTTTTCTTGCTCCCTTGTCCATCCCCAACCTCCTAGTGCCATTGTAAACTTCACCCAGAGACAGAGCTGATAAACGGACAGATAGTATCAAATGTCAGGCAGGGCTTCCTTTCCACCCCAGGCTCTTGGGAACAGCCTATGAACAGATTGTTCCTGCCACAGTATCTCATTATTTTAGGCAAATTGAATTTCTCATTGACTATGTTGAAAGGTTGTACACTGCTTATAATTACCGGTTTTACTTAATTTCCCTTTATAAATAGGTCGGTACTCTGCACTTGAAAGTAGTATGTTGATTACTGATTTTTTTTTTCTTCTTTTGGCCTCGGGGACTGTTTAGTGTTGAAACTGCTGACGGAGTGAATTTAATGAAACATACATATCCAATTACGAGAGGGCGTGTGAGATACACTCGGGCTTGCAGGTAGCAGGCACATATTGAGCCAGCACAGTGCACCTTGTGGGGAGGCCGGAGAGACTTCTTCCTGGAAGTGAAAGGCACAGGGGGCTGGGGGGTGGGGGTGTACAGTGACTTCCAGCAGGGGCGCTAAGTGGCTGGGAAATGCCCACTACGGGAACTTTCTTCTGTATTTGAATGGCCATAGGCTTTTATTTATGGAAAACCTTTGTTCTAAAGAGAGTAGGGCTCCTAAAATGCTGCAGATATGTGCTCTGGGAAGGGCTAGATCAAATTGCCATTTCTGCGGAAGCTCTTAGTAGAAAAAAATTATATTTGTTTTGGTCAAAATATTTTAAAAAACAAAGATGCTGAAGAAAAAAATAAAACTAATCTATAATCCTATTAAATCCTATTAATTTATAATCCTATAAATGATGGGTATGGGTATACTGACCCCATAGCAAGAAAGTGACCAAGGCACCTTCCCCTCTGTGGCAGGTGGGTAGAATACTGCCTGCCGCACTTCGTGCTTCTCCTACCCATTCCCTTCATGGCCACCTCTCACACCGACTGTACCTTGGCCGCACGACTCGCCTTAGTCAGTGCAGATATTAGAAAGTGGAATGGGATGAAGGCTTGGAAATGTGTGGGCACAGGAGTTTACACCAACTGGCCTCCAGAGGAAGAATCCGAGGCTAGTTTCCTAGAGGATCAGAGACCACATGAAGCAACTGCAGTTGTCTTAGCTGAGGCTTCAGGACTGTAAGAAAGCTGTGCCTACCCTATCTGTCTGGCCACCCTAGCACAGACCCAAAGAATTGCCCAGATGGTCCACAGAGTCCTGAATAAATTACCCAGAAATGCCCATGGTTTCTTTAATTCATTTATATGCATTTATGCATAATACACATCTGCTTCTTATGGACACAACTTTGTATATTTTTGTTTTGTGTTGTTTTGATTTTTTGAGACAGGGTCTCACTATGTGGTTGAGACTGACCTGGAACTCACTATGTAGCCCAGGCTGGTATGGAACTCACAGCGATCCTCCTGCCTCAGCCTCCCGAGTGCTAGGATTACAGGAGTATGCCACCATGCCTGGCTTTATATTTTATTTTTAATTAATATGAATATATTGAAGGCATATCTCCATGTTAGCTATTTTCAAATGTAGCTTTTAACAATAAACTATTATTACATATTGCATGTAGACTGTTACATCTTTAACCATACCATTATTATTATGAAATTATTCCTTTTATTAAAGATTTGATTTAATTATCATTTTTGCTATTATAAATAATGTGATTTGACTCTTTCCATAATTAATCTTTCTACACCTCTTTCACTATTTCTTGGGGGTAAACTCATAGGAATGAAATTTTTGAGTCATGGAGTTTGAGATCTTTTAGGTCTTTAATAGATAGATGGTGAAATTGCTCTTTTAGAAATTTTGTATCAGCTCATATTCATGGAATGGTATATAAGACTGTATGTTTTGCCATACTCTAGTGAACACTAAAAATTAAATATTTAAAATATTGTCAATGTGATAAGTGAAAAGTTCTGTCTCATTGTTTTAAATTTACATTTCTGTGCTTATTAGGGATAAACAATTTTATTTGTCTACCACAGCAATTTAAAATAGGCATTCCCCCTAAAAGGGAACAGGATTTGAAAGTGTGGTATATAGGCAAATACATTTTGATGGAAAGAGACAAGCAAAAAAAAAAATAAAATTGCCTACAGCCTAGATTTTAGCCAAAGAAATCAGCTGAGGAAACTATGAAGATTCTAACTGAGCTGATCAGGGAGGGGCCAGCTTGCTATTTCTGGAAGTTTCAGGTAGGACTTTTTGTTTTTTTGTACCAGGGATCAAATTTGTGCTTGTGAGGCAGGAGGAAACGCCACTGAGCCAAATCCCTGAGCCCAGGTGGGACAGTTTTTGCTGGAAGGAAGTCCTTTTGGGACCGCCAGCTGGGATAGCAAGAGAGAAGACCTGGGATTCCCTCAGCATTGGTGGCAGTGACTGCAGGAAAGTTAATAAAAGGAAATCAGAGGAAAATGACCTTGTGTTATCATAATGCTTTCTATGGAATCGGTATTGAAAATTCTGCCTTTGATTATACAACCTACTTTCCAGTTGGGGCTTATAATTCAGTTTGTGCTTTTTCAGGTTCCTGTTTTTTGTTGCTGCAGTGTGAGTTTAAGACACCTCCTTGATCATAAGCATATCTGTTCGATATTAAAAAATAATCACTACAATATAGAGGATTGAGATTGTTTTTGCGCAGGGGCCATGCTAATCTTCTCCGTATCCTTCCAATTTTAGTACATGTGCTGCTGAAGTGAGCACTGCTTTTGGATTTCAAATGACCAACTTCTTCTTGACCCCGGTGCTGCATAAATTAACAAATGAGCCTTATGAAAAATTTCCTTCCTATTCCCCCATCCCAAATAAGATTATAAAAGAGAGAGAGAGAGAGAGAGAGAGAGAGAGAGAGAGAGAGACAGTGTGTGTGTGTGTGTGGGGGGGTGTGTGGGTGTGTGTGCATGCTTGTGAGGAGTGATACACCTCAAGGCAATGCATTTATCTTTACCCCTGGTGGTAAAAAAACAAAACAAACAAACAAACAAAGGAACAAACACAGTAGCAGTATCACTTCTATGGTGCTGTGCAAGGATTCCTGTGTTGCTCAGGGAGAAGTTTTCTCCAGCTGACCCTGACTTCCTGCCAGGGCTAGCTAGTGGTAGGTACTACAAATCCACAACTTCTAATCCTAAAGAGACTGTTTAGAGTGTTTGAGGGCGGACGAGGATCTTAGCCAGTGTCTTAGAAGTAGCAAGAAGGAAAGATTAGAAGGAAAGAATTTCTGATCCGGGAAATGCACTGGGAGTTGTCCTTTCTGCACTGGACAGGCTAAGTGATTGGTAAGAACTCACTTAGTTTCTCTGGATCTCAGAGGTCTTCCATGTGAACAGTAGCTCACGTCCTTCATTGTTGAGGGAATAACACATTCTTGTCCCTTTCCCCAGCTAGGCCAGGTGCTGCCTTGGTGACCTAGAATAAATCCCCGAGCACCATGAGTTTTAGTTTCAAATAGGGTTGGCCACTTTACACAGACGGTGGACGTCACAGTGGGTGAGTAAGTTAATGTACCTGTGTATGAACTGGGCGCACGTGGTACAAGGGATATGAAAGCACTGGGAGAGTTTAAATTTCAGCGAGATGTGGTACTCAGTGAATACGTGCATCCGTATCAGAATGGGGCAGAGGGATCAGTTTCAGAATTAGCCCATCAGTGTCTAGAGTGTTCTGGGAATAATTGGGAGTGGGGGTTCACACTTTCCTTCATGGCTTTGAGATAATATTGCTTAGATTTTTAAACTGATAACACCTTTCGATAAAAATATAAATTGCAAGTACTACTTTAATTCTGTTTGAAATATCAAAGCACATTAATGATCAGGAGCCAACTGAAATGCCCTACAACCCTTCAAAGAGGGACCTTTGCCGGCCTCCACATTGTTACACAATGCTGCTCTGAAGGCAATATAAGTTGGCAGTCACAGATCTCCTCAGATGCTCCTAGGTATCCCAGGATGGTGTAGTCGCACAGGGTCCTTAACTATTCCTCTGGATCCACCCATAGGTTCACAGAATGCCATAGCCACAGAATTCTCTGGAGGAGAAAATGACAGGCACGGGCCCCTTTGGCCAGGATTGAAGCTGGAATCATTTGTTTCACTGGCACACTCTTTCCTCTTAGGGAAACATCTTTTTTTCAAGGTTGAAACAATGTCTGTCCCTCCCATATGGCTTCAACTGCCAAATACCAATCCTCTGAAGACAGCAAGGTGTCTCAAGTCACCCTGGAATTTGAGGGAATGCGTCATGGGGCCACCACTCCAGGAAGAGATGCCAGTTGCAACATGTACACACACGCGCACACACACACACACACACACACACCCCACTTTCGGCCTGCTGGCTCAGTTGGTGGGAACATTTATGCTTTTTAAACATATAATCGGCTAGAAGGGATCATTCCTTCATCTTTAAGATAGTTAAAATATTTTGTTAGTTAAAAAAACGAATTTAATGTTCACTTTTCCCCCAAGTACCTCTTTTCTGAGTAGAAACGAGTTTAAAATGTATTTAAGCTAGGAAAGCTTGTAAACTTTCCTCCAAGAATACAAATACTTATTTGTAATATTCCCTTGGATTTTTCTTGGGAAGTCTAGAAAGTCGTAAGGTAGCTTTCTATGTCAGCCACACCCACATGTTTCCTCTTGAATTTATCTAAGTGAGGATCTTCCATAGTAAAATTATGAGGGAATTAAAGAAAAAAAAAGAGCAAAGAATTGAGTTGGAATTCTCAGAATGCAACACTGGGACTCATTCCTGACCCTGCCAAAGAGTTGCAGGTGAATGGTAGGAGTGAGTCCTTGGGGCCCAAAGTAGTTATGCAGAGAGTTACCCCAAACATACACTTAGGAGATCAGCCACAAACGTGCGGAGATGAACCAGGGAAGCAACTGGTTATCATTCCGTGTAGTGAGATAACGGCAACTGGAACACCCACATCCTACTTACAGTGGCCCGCTGAATGTTTAATGATGCAAGCCGCACAAATGGGTGGATTTTCCCCAAGGCGGTCTATTGCTCTCGCATTCTACTTGGTGATGTGAACTTTTCCTTCCCTCCCACCAAAGGATAGCACATCAAAGTGGGCAGGAAAAAGGGTGCTAGCATACCACTGATTAACTGCTTCATTTCTTTGTCTTGATTATCTGTAGAGGGGCAGATATGAAGAATAAATAAGACTTACATCGGTATTAGGTACATGCAAAGCATTGTGTCTGTGGCTTATTATTAATTCATTCTTTGGCAAGCAGTCAAGCACCTCTCAGATTACAGTTATTGTAGTAGCATAATTGGGAGCTATGAAAATGAATTCATTTAAGATACTTTGCTTAAGGGAAGAGGAGGTATGAAGAACTAATCTTTTTGTCTTTAAATGCTAGAAACCATGGTATGAGCTTTTCAATCATTATCTGATGTACTCTTCAAACTACTTTATTACCCCTATTTTTTAGAGAAGGCAGAGATGGGACCAGACCTCCTAAAGGCCATGAATGGATGGTGGAGCTCACATCTGAATCCATATCTGACTCTGGAAACTGTAGGGTTTCAAGTCTTACAGAGTCTAAAACAGGAGATAATGCTATGTGATCACTGCTGCGTGAGCTAACATCTTCATGCTCTTTCTAAACTGGTACTGGAATTGGCTGATGCCCTTCTCAAACGAGGGTTCCAGGCTTCACCAACCATTTGGTTATGGTTAGCTTGGAGGAAGAAAGGTATTTCCCACCCTGGGAAAGCTCTAGGTTGCCTCAAGGGGACATTTTTGGCCAGTCTTGCAGCCACTTTCATTGTATGGGTAAAAAATAACCTCAAGTAAACAGAGAAGGTCACAGTCACTCTCTGGTTCTATTCACATCTTTATATTGTGCTCGCATAATCCACACTAGTAACTGCTTTCTTCTAGAGGTCTCCTTCCCACCCTCTGCATCTACTCACTAGCACATTCAGACTGTCGAGTTCTGGGTCAGGAAGGAACAGAGTAGGCTATCAAGTGCACCAGCTGCCACGTGCTGAATCCCTTAATTTCAAGAAAAAAATCGTGAGATGTGCCCAAGTTTGCACAGCTACCATCATTTAGAGTAGAACTCAGCACTACTGACTTTCAGTAAAGTGCTCCCCCTCCCCCGGACTACAGTTTCTGTGGCGCCTTCTGAGAGTGACAGCATAAAAGCGAGTACTGGTGAGATCTTTGGGACTGATGTCTTTTGAACTTGCAAGTGACATTACATTGTGGGATTTAATTCTCAGATTGAAAGACGGGGTGCTTCTTCAAAACCACTCTGTGCAGAACACTCAAATACAAAGACCTTGATTTCACCTGGGCCACACACATATGTAAACTTCAGTTGGCCCGAACCGGAGGAATCTCCTAGAAGTCAGCTCTATGCCCTTTTAGTTATTTCATGGTATTTCAGAGGGGGAAAAATATATATTTTAAAGATTTTTAAAATAGATGGTAACCAGATTTTAAGAAGAAAAAGTCTGTTTTCTCTGTTGCGAGGTTATGGTCTCGAGGGAGAAATGGAATAAATGTAGAGCATGCCTATTTCAGGAAAAGATTAAACAAAGGCAGGCTGTGCCTCAGAGCAGTTAGAGAGTGAAAACATTCACGATGGAGAAGCTTAAAAGTATGCCTTGTTTTTTTATTAGCATCCACTTCTCTTCTGAAAGGCTAATTGTGAAATTTATAGAGCTAATTATCTTTCTAGATTAATATTTATGACAATACAACAGCAAATGTGAATTCCAAGTGTTGTGCTAAGCAGTGGCTTTTCTCTCTTCACACATACAAGCAAACAACAGATATCTCAAGGTGATGCTAATATTCTCTCTACAATGTATGTAAACAGTCATGCTAAATTTTTCTTCCCAATTGCTGCAAATTGGTATTTACCCAGCAACTGAAAACTATTTTTAACAGTTAATACTCCCGAAATGTATTGGGACCTTTCTGCAATATGACTAAGATCTTGGAAAATCAATTGCCTAAAGCCTTCCCTAATCAAACACCAAAGAGCCAGGCTTCTCTTTATTGACTTGTTTTAACCACATTTTATTCTTCTAAGACAAAGGAAGGGTAAGCAAAAGCACTTTGTGGTTCTTCTTGTACTTAGAAAATACTAACAGTACCTTCATTTCCAAAAGCAAGAGTACCAGGTTAAGTGTTGCAAAACACTGCACTGTCAAACAGCCCCAAATGTGTCCATGTCCCAACCTTTATGCATAAATGTAAGCTACTTCTACTATCCATATGCATCATGATATTTGCATGAGTCAGGGTAAAAAAAAAAAAAAGATGTAGAAAACAAGAGGAGGAGAGGATAGAAGCCAACTCATGATAAATGAATGGCTTTCGGCCAATCCTGAAATTCTGTGCTTTAGTTTTCTTGTCTATGGGCTGAGGGATGTTTTACTATATCAGGAATTCTCAACCTGGGATCTGTGGGTTGGGAAAGGAAAAATGGATGAGCTTTCAAGATTCCTTAACCCTCTTATTCCATAAACTCATATGAATTTATCCTACGAATTAGTATGAACATATCACTGACTGAGAATATATTTAGCTGTCAACAATCCTCAGAGGGTCTCAGAATTCAGAGGTTAAGAGCTATCGCACTACATGATCTCTCAAGTTCCTTCTTGCTCTAATTCTCTAATTCTTGCTGCATCCCAATGCCGGTCTCACGTTGCTTCAGTGGCCCATCTTT